TGAAATATTCCTTAGGAGAAAAGTTACAGTAAAGGCTGAATATTATGAAATGTATAATTGAACAGCATGAACAAGTCTAGACAAGTTCCTCTTATTCTTGTCCCTTTGTCTTAAATTTACCAAGGAAGAATGCCTTCATGGTTCCTTTTCTAGTTAAGATCTCAGGTGATCTTGAGTGTTGCTTCCCAAGCTGCCATATCGGGCAAGAATTGGGAGGCTCTTGATCAGGGATAGACAATTCCTCTCACGCAACCCTCAAGTTTCTTTCCTTCTCGTTACATATTGACTTTGTTTATTGAAGACCGAAGGCTGTTTTCTGCCAATTTGAGCAAATAAAGCTATGAATACTGTAATACGGCGTTTCCCAAGCTGGGCTAGTTCCAGGTTGTCTATTCCCAGAACTCCCCAGCCAACATAGCCATTGGTGAGAAATCAAGCTTATTTTACTTATCCATTTTGTTGCCCGCCACAATTGAGAGGCTGTCGGTGGGTTACAATCTCAAGAATAAAACATCCACAATATAAGTAATTTTATATAACAGTAAATCATAATTAAACCACAGGTAAAGTAATAAAGCAATCAGTTGAAGTCCACACATCAGGAACTAGCCCAGCTTGGGAAACATTGTGATGTACACCCGAAAATAGTTTCAAAAGAAAAAGTTCTGTAAACTTGGTTCCCACAATCCAGACCTATCCACATGTGATGTCACTCCCTTTACTTTGACTCTCAAACTCATTTTCCACCACTATTGATTAACTGTGACCTTTGGCCAGCCCAAGATTGCCAACGCCTGATTTGGTGCTCCATCAAAAGTAGCTAGTGGTCTACTGTACAGACCTTCTTTCAACCCAAGCTAGACCTCATATATTCTTCTTGCTATGATCACATTTCTTTCTCTCTGTTGAAATGAGAGAAATGAATGCTTTTCTCCTTTATTCTCCTTTGAGAGTAACTAGGTTGCTCAAGATGAGAGGAGGCTTTTTCTGTAGAGGCCCAATCACCACCCACTTAAAACAGAAGTTCAACTTTTTTCTAAATGGCCAAGTCCACACAGCAGGTTAAAACATTAAGCCTGGGCACCAAAGCTCTGTTCACAGAACATGGGGTGCCCTAACAATTACACTCTAATATATTTAAAATTATTATTTGGTTCGTCCAAAATACTAAAATATAGCTGGGTCACAAAGTATTCAACCCCATTTTAACCCAATCTAACACCAACCAATTGCAGTTAACCAGCTTACTTGATTTATGCATTTGTTGATACAGATGCACACGTGCATTGCATATCTATCCAACTCTTTGGACAACTGGATTCTAGAGCAATTTTCACGTAACCAGCTCCACCTTGGGAATCCAACCCCATTTTAGCCTGGACAGCCAACAAGCATTTGCTTTTAATAGATTTCTCTGAATAGCTCTGTTGGAGGCCAAGGCAATATTCAGGCTGAAGTAGACTGTATTTCAAAAATATAGCCCCCGTTCTGATAAACGTCTCTCTGTCTTTTAAAGCAATGGGATCAGCTCCATTCAAAAACGTATTCACAGGTACAACTTTACTGACTCTGGGTTACACCAGAAAGAGGAAGAAAAAATTTCTCCAGATGTTGTGATTATAAGAGAGAAAATGGTGTTTGGCTTGCTGGTTAATCTGTTGAAAGCATAACAATTGAGCTCTGATTTTAGAAGTCAGAAGAGCAAAACCTGCACTGCCATTACAATTACCCTCTTACGGGATGCAAAAGCTAAAAAGAAAATCTGTGTCCTGCCTATCAGACCAGTGAGTTTTCACCATAAGGTCTAAAAAACACGGATTATTCTCCCTAAGGTCTTAGGTTTAATCATTTTATTGATGGGGCTTTAAATGTATGTATGTATGTATGTATGTATGTATGTAAATGAATGTATTTATTACACATGCTTTCATGTATTTATGCAACTTTAGACAAAAAAAGGGAATCTAAGTGTAATTTTAAATGTTAGTTCCACTGATATGGATTCCTTCTCAAAACCTGTGTTTGTGTTTTGGTTGGTGATGATTTAGATCAGGGTTTCTCAACCTTGGCAGCTTGAAGATGTGTGGACTTCAAGTTGTGAAGGTTCAGGAACAGTGATTTTGATTCTGATAGCAACCTTCAGTGACCCTTGGCCAATCTTGAAAGATAAGCAGGATTGGAGTGGAACATTTTGCACCTCCCTGTTATTTAGGTGGGATCCATCAAGAAATGGTAGGGCAGTGGGTTAGACTGAGAATTCCCCAAAGTCTCTTGGAAAAACACAGTAGCTGAACACATCCATTATTGTTGCCAAGAAAACTACAGGGGTGGGTCCTTTCTGTCAGTAGGTGTCAGGTGGTGGTGGTGGTGGTGGTGGTGGTATTATTATATTATTATATTATTATTATTATTATTATTATTATTATTATTATCTCACTATTCAGGTTTTTTGGGGGCGGGGGACCAGGAACACATATTTGCAGGAGAGAGGGGAAATGTATTGGAGGAAAGGTATTGCACCTACCCCCTCACCTGTCCATGGATGATTGAAATGCCCCCTCCGATGGCCGTTCAAGCCTAACGGATGAGTCTGAGACTGTAAGGTTTCGTTTATCCCTAACCAGGCAGTTTCACTCCTTGCACGCTCTCTGCACAATTCACCTGGGCTGCATTATTTTTCTTTCGACTGGCAGAGCAGAAGCAATGATTGTGTTCTTCCGTGCCAGGGCAAACAATCACAGGCCACCTCCTTTTACGAGCCCTTACTCAGTTGCCTCCTCTGTTTGCCGAGATCAAATGACTAGGATTCCAAACAGGAAGTTGCTGGCTTCAGATCCTGCAGTGGATTAACCCTGTTGACAGACTCGGTTCTGCCTTGTTTAGCTTTGACCTGGCTTTGTTAGTTGACCCTCTGAAAAAAAAGCCCAAACAGGATCTCCAGGTAGGGCTTAAATATGGGAGGTGTGTTTTGATAGAGTTCGTCTGCAGTGGGCATCTTATCCAATGTCCATTCTCTCTTGCACCACATGTGCTAAAGTTCTCACATGTTGCTAGCCCTGTCGAGTCTTCACTCTGGCTAGCTTGAGAGATCAAAACATACCCAGCATTTGTAGAGGCCTGGGAGAACTTCCAAGTGCAGGAAGAGACTCATATTTACAGTTTCACTCTCTCACTGCAAGGCAACCAAGCACAGAGTTATAGATTTTAACCCCCACGTTTCCTCTATGTGTTAAGTTTCTGCAACATGAATTTTGGTTTTTTTTAATTAAAAAAAAAACACCAGAATTGGACAGAAAAACAATCCATTTGCAAAAATGTGAAGGAAGAGAAAATTGGGGATTGTACATACATATATGTTATAAGCACAGGTAATCTTACAAAAATAAGTATTTTAAGCATCCATGTTCATTCCATCTTTTTGTCAAGGCTTGCTTTTGTAGAATTGTTACCCTTTAGGAAAAGCATTCAAACTATAGCTAGTATGATGGTGATAAGTGATGATTTGAGAAAATTTAGCTTTCCTTGTTGAAGTTTTCCATGCTTTTCTTTTGTCAGGTCAGCTTTTCAGCCAGAACAGTTTTGCCATAGTAAGAGTGTTTTACTTTTGCAGTGTTTTGCATTACCAGACTTCGCTACTAACAACTAGCACGGCTCCAAATTCTTTCTTGCATCACTTATGCACAGATAGATGGATGGATGCCAATATAATTTGCATTTGTCATTAGGCAATATGGACAATAAACCAACAGCAGGATTCATTTTGAAAGAGTCCTTTTCTCAATTCTTTGAACGCTTTCAGTGGGGCATTGTCTCCCAAATTGTTGATATGTACCAAATGACCTGCAACACTGTCAGTTCAGTTTTGGAAGATTACAATTAATTTTGATGCAATTTCACTGGAGTGTAATAGGGCCCTTGGGTCGAGGCCTGATGGCTTGCTGAAATAACTTTAAAGGGAAATCTGTCAGCAGCAGCAGCAGCAGCAGCAGCAAATGATGTCGAAGCCAAAAGAGCGATACAAGTATGATGATGGGAGACCCGGGGTCTAGGCCCTCCTCAGCCATAGAGACTCCCAAGATGACGTGGGCCAGTCCCTCCCTCTCAGCTCAAGAGCCAGCATGGTGTGGTGGGGAGGGGGCCGGACTAGCAGTGGGAAGACCCAGGGTCTAGTCTACCTCCAGCCATGGAAGTTTCTTGGGTGGCTTTGGGTCAGTCCATCTCTGTCAGTCCCAGAGCCAGGATGGCCAGTGGGGAAGCTGCTGAACTAGCACTGGAGAGACCCAGTCCCTCCTCAGCCACAGAAGCTCCCTGGGGAGCTTTGGGCCATTCCCTCCCTCTCAGCTCAAGAGCCAGCGTGGTGTATGGAGAAGGGGCCGGACTGGGAGTGGGGAGACTCAGGGTCTCCAACCTCCAACCACGGGAATTCCTTGGGCGACTTTGGGTCAGTCTCTCTCTCTCAGTCCCAGAGTCAGGATGGTGTAGTGGGGAAGCTGCTGGATTAGCAGTGGGGAGACCCAGGTTCTAGTCCCTCCTTGGCCAGGAAAACTCACTGGGTGACTTGAAGCTAGTCCTTCCCTCCCCGTTGCCACCAGCCCATCTCACAGGACTGACCTTGTAGAGCAAAAAGGGAGTGCAGTGTACATCATCTGGAGCTTTTGAACGAAAAGGCAGAATAAAAAACAAAAATAAACCGTGCAAATGGGATGCCAGCATGATGTACCTGCATCCTGATGACACGCGCGTGTTGTCATTTGCACACCCATCTCTCACCCACGAGTTCAGCTCCATGCTGCTCCCTGACATGACCAGACTCATTGGGAGGGAAAAGGAGTATTCAAACCACCGTCAATTCCAGGAACTTTAAACATTGCTGAATTTACTTTGGTATGACGGATCAATCCTCATTCTTAATTGCACGTTTTTCTTATGGCGGGGGAGGGGGACCTCCAAAAGTGGCATTTTTAGAAAATGGATGAAACACGATTGGTTTTTCTTGACAGATGCAGAGAATGAACCCATGCCAAGAATTGTGGAAGGTGGACAGGCAGCATTCGCAACAGATGCAGCTGTTTCGTCTTCCCCTCCATCAGAAGAAGGAAGGTAATTCTTAAATGCAAGTAGAAAGCAGCAATCCAACAGTATGTTTATTACTTGTCTGTGTACTTCCTCTTATTATTAGTACAGGGAGTCCCCAGGTTAAAAACGCCTGGTTTAACAACGATCTGTAGTTAAGAATGGATCCTATTGTAGCAAAATTCGAGTTAAATACATAGTGATTCAAGTTAAATACACAATGGTTCAAGTTCATTACACAATACTACTTATACAGTATTATACAATCATACTGTTCTGGCTTACATACAAATTCGACTTATGGACAGACGGCTTATGGAGCAAGCTCCCCCCTGAGACTTGGACAGCCCCAACTCTGCTGGTGTTCTGGAAGGCCTTGCTCTTCTCCCAGACATTGGGTCTGAGATGTTAAGGGAGACTGGCACGTGTGTGTGCTTGGTTTATGGCAGTGTTTCTCAACCTTGGCAACTTGAAGATGTGTGGACTTCAAGCATGGCTGGCTGGGGAATTCTGGGAGTTGAAGCCCACACATCTTCTAGTTGCCAAGGTTGAGAAACACTGGTTTATGCTGTGGAAGACTTCTTGGGTTCAAGCTGTTGGGAAATGTTTAATGTTGCCTTGACTGGGTTTTTAATCTGTTGTGGCTTTTACTGTGTCTTTATTTTTTTCTGTTGGCCACCCAGAGTTACCTGGTTAAGATGGGTGGCTATACCGATGTCCTTTGTCAATCAAACCATCCATCCTTGAATCTTGGGAGGATTCTGAGAACATGGGGCAGCCTGGGAGGAACTGTTAGACAGCAGGAGACCCTTGGACCAAGCTGGGAAGGTAGTTTGAGTGCAAGGGAAGAATAGGAAATGAAGGCAAGGTCACGGAGAGCTTTCAGTAGTGCGGACAAAGCTTTTGTAATGATGAATGGAGACTCAACCTAAGGAGTTAAGGTGGAAGGAGCGATGTTCTTATGTGATTCAGTGGCTTTAACCGTTTCAGTTGCCAACGTGGAGGCTGCATTGCACGGTGATTAATTTTAACCTTGGTTTGGTTCACTTAGGGCTCCCTGTATTGTGCAAATCCAGAAAATCTAGTCTTTCATCATCCCAGCTCAGTGTGTTACAGGAATGCAGGCATTTGTCTATTTATATGAAAGGAGAGTTATTTTAAAACCTTTTGCAGGAATTGCCAAGATACCTTTATCCTGTTAAGAGTTTGGCAACATATCAAGCTATTTTTTTTTTTTCCAAATGTGATTCAGCAAAAGGCTTTTGTTTTATTTGCTGCTTTCCAAGGGGAAAAAAGAGTCTGTTCTGGCATTGGGATATCAAAGAAAGAATGCATTTTGCATTTGAGCACCAGTGCAAATGGGCTGCTTTTGTATTTTATTTTTAATCTTGCCACTCTTCCGGACTTTTCCCAGTGAGATTGTTGGAGTCTGTTGGTCAACAAAGTTTGAACTCTAGAGATTGGGCAGGAAACAAAACCTATCCAATTAAAGTCTCATTGCAAAAAATAGCCACCATTTGTTCTTTAAACTGATGGAAAAAACCACAGCTGTCAATGCTGGTGGTGGTTTTGTTGACTGCAAAGGAAAGCTTGCAAAGCCAGAAGCCAGGACAAAGGTTAATCATGAACCTTTCCAGCTGAAATGCTGGAACACTTTGATGATTGAGCTTGCTAGATTATTTATTTAGGAGCGGAACAACTTTCTGTTTCAAAGCAGTTCATTTGCCACACGTCTTCAAGCTGCCAAGGTTGAGAAACCCTGGTTTAATCCGACAAATACATTCATATTCTGGACGTTGAAGCCCACACGTCTTCAAGCTGCCAAGGTTGAGAAACCCTGGTTTAATCCGACAAATACATT